CCCAAAAAAAAAAAAAAAAAAAAAAAAAAAAAAAAAAAAAAAAAAGAAAAAGAAAAAAAAAAAAAAAAAAAAAAAAAAAAAAAAAAAGGAAGCACTGCTCTTGCTAGGGCTAGTGTTAGCAAATTCTCTCAGGCTTAACCCGTAAGCTCACCCACCTGTCTGCAAGTTGGTTTTTTTGACCTCACTTCTCAAGGCTGCAGGCAACATTGCCTAGTCTTCTTCTTTTCCTCCACCTTATCCCACTAGGTGGGGTCCGCACTGTGAATTTTTCTATTCCATTCTCATCTATCAGCCGTCATCTCAACACTGACTCCTCTCTCTCTCATATCGTCATTCACACACTCCATCCATGTCTTCTTCGGTCGACCTCTTCCCCCTCTAACTTCTGGGTATTGTGTGTCATTCTCTAGTTTTTTTTTCATAAGGTTTATCGTCAATTTTGCTCATTTATTTTTAACGGAGATATTATTAATTGATCCATAGGTTCAGAATACATTCACGTTGGAGGAGCCGCCCGAAGAAGGAGTGTATATTCGCGGGCTGTTCATGGAAGGCGCCAGGTGGAACATGGAGGATTATTACATTGACGAATCGTATCCCAAAGTGCTTTACGACGATTTCCCACCGGTATGACTCTTAATATGATTTCTAGGCAATTCAGAACTTAACAATTACATATCAGCATAACAGCACAATTTACTATATACTGTAATCTCATTAAGTTGCATCATAAAATAATGTGTGGACTAAATTTGTTAAATTTAAATGCATGCAGGTCAAAATAGAAATGAAAATAGTAGTTATTTTGACATTGAAGTTATCGAGAGGTGAAAGGCTATTTGGTTTAAGCGACATTTCGCTTAATAAGCGATATTTATTTGTGTAATTAAGTGTAATTAAAGGTGCGTATTATTTGGTACTAGCGACCCGCCCTCGCTTCGCCTCGGAAACTGTAATTTATTATTAATTTCTACACTATTTAATGGATGTTATTATGCATATAAACCTTCCTCTTCAATCACTGTATCTATTAAAAAAAAACCGCAGCAAAATCCGTTGCGTAGTTTTAAAGATTTAAGCATACATAGGGACAGAGAAAGCGACTTAGTTTTATACTATGTAGTGATTAGCGTCAACAGTTCGATGTTTTTAATCGAATTTCAATGAAGTTCAAATAGCTGAAGAAGTTTGTTTATTATGATATTTTTACCAAATTTTAAACTTTAAATGGCTCTCCTGTAATTTTGCAAAAAACGGCGCTTAAACCAAATATCCTTTCACCCCTCGATATGGAAAATTTTCAAGTAAATTTCTCGTCTACGAAGGTATGGTTGATCCCGTTAAAACGCGAGGATATACCGGAGGACGTGTTCTACAACTGTCCCCTGTACAAGACGGGGGACCGGCGGGGGGTTCTGTCCACGACGGGACATTCCACCAACTACATACTGTTCATGAGACTACCCACTGCCAAGGAACCGGACCACTGGATCATGAGAGGAGTAGCTCTTCTAACTCAATTGCCGTTCTAGACAACGATCTAGAGAAAAAATTACCAATTCACAATTCGCAACATTTTTTTATTTGAATAGAACCAAGTTAAAGGTTGTATGTAGCTGAGAACATAGCGGGTCGTATGAATAGAATGGGTAAAATCAGGAACCTACAAAGTTGAAGAGGCAAGGATACGCAACTAGAAATTTTAAAGTGGATAGGTGTAGTGGAAAGCGTAGGAGCTATAGGTAGATCGTGTGAAATGTGATACACGCATTTTTTTTCTACCCGTGCTGATAGCCTTGAGAGGCTATTTCAGTTTCTCCTTGACGTGTAGGTGAGCTCACTGGGCTCAAACCGGGAGTGTTGCTAACACTGGCCCTAGCAAGAGCAGCGCAATCTACCACCGGATCGGAAACGCGACCCACTGAGAAGATCCGGCGAGAAACTCAGTGGGCTGTGTCTATGGGTAACGCAATACAAAACATATTCTGATGTCTAAAATATGCATATGCCTATCATTACTCTGCACATGTAATAAAACACAATGTATATCGAATGTAGAGCGAAAGAGCGAAGTATAATGTCGTTCACGTTAGAAATAATCGCAGCATTTGATTGATTTTGGGCGAAAATAATTATTTGTGATCGGCGAGTATAAAAGTTTTGTGTCACGTGTTCAAAGTAATAGAACAACGTGATTTCTGTCACACAAATACTTTTGTTTTGAAATGAGCGGAATTATTGGTAAACTGTTTTTTTTGAACAATGAAAAATGTTTGACATAAAATGCGGCACGTTCTTTAGAATTCTCAACTAAGACGTAATTGTGTAAGCACCAATAAAATAATTATTAAATTAACTACCAGTAGTAAAATATCTAATCATAATTTTCAAAGAATCATTCATAGCAACGAAAATATTAGAAGCAGCTCGGAATTAATTGAGTGATCGTTATCATTAATTTATGTCACTGATCCTACTCCAATCCAAATATTTTACTATCTTGCATTTCTAATACTTTCAACGAAGCGTATACTGGAATGTTCTATACCAGTACTTTTTGTCGAACTCTTCACGAGCAATTTGTTAAAGAGGCATAAAAATTGTAATAACGTAATTTAGTGCAATTGAATCTTAATTTGAGAGTTATTGAATGATACCATGTTCGATCTATCACCTCTAACGTAGTTAAAAGTATATAGCCGATAAAATAAAACTATAGGATTGTCACACCAAATCCTGCTCTATGGCTTTTCTCAAGTATCCTCGTTAACTATACCCTGAGGCAATAGACACAAAACATAACTGAACTGTTTTGAACTAGACTATTCCGAGATAGATCTCTATATAGAACTAATATTAATAACGAATATGAATTTTAAGTTCCTAGTCATCGAAGGATTAAATTTCATTATAACATATCGTGGTGTTTACTTTTAAAATTCATTTCACAATCACCAAGTACCAAGACAGAATGACATCTGATTGTGTAGTAGGTACTTACTTCCTTTTTAATGTTATATCTTGTTTATTGCGAAATTGATTTTTAGTTTTAGTTAATGTATTTTTGTCTACTTATTAATTAGATCTGATTATGTGTCTGACTAATAAAATGCGATTGAAAATGTTTTTGTCTTTATTCATCTTGAAACTACGCCATTGGAACCGAAATCAATTCTCGATCGAATTCATTATCGAAAGATATGTGGTGTTCGGAATGTACTTATTCTGATAAATATGATATGCGTTTGTGGCTTGGTTCTGCCCCTGGCATTGCTGAAGTCCATGGGCGACGGTAACCACTCACCATCAGGTGGGCTGTATGCTAGTCTGCCTACAAGGGCAATAAAAAAAATTGCTATGGGTTACATAGGTACTTTACAATTTTGTGGGCGTCTATACGGCAGTGAAACAAGTTGTGATTAAGTATAGGTTTATATTATATAATACAGTTTTACAGGTCATCATCATCATCATCATTCTTTCCTATTACCCTCCGCTGGGGTGTAGGGCTCGAATCAAATTTTTCCATTTACATCGCTCTTGGGCAGTCTGTTCTAGCTCCTCCCACGTCATGCCCAAGACCCCTAGCTCTTGCACCGAGCGACGCCAAGTTGTTCTGGGGCGGCCTCTCTTCCTCTCTTCCAGTTTTACAGGTAATAAAAATTTAACTCATTGTATAATGCTTTCAAAGTAGAGATGATTGGAGTCACGTTTTTATTTTATTTTTCGAAACCTAAGAACTCAGCTTGTTATTAATAATATTAATTTACAAGGATAAATTAAAACGTGCTCCATCGCTTCAAAATAACGAGCACGCAAGTTTTGTTCCCAAATTGTTTATTTCGAAATTATGACTCATTATTAATTTGTCGTCTTGACTTATACAATTTTAAAATAATTGTCAATGTATATAATACAAATATAATACATATTATTTATATGTTATAGTATATAATAAAATACAATAATAATTTGTATCATAGTACATAATACAAATAAAAAACAGAGAATATGAGTACTATGGATACACTGAATAAAACCTTTTTAAAAAGTTATATCTTATTTGTTTTAAAATGAATTTTGAATAAAAATGCTCTATGTGAACAACTATAAGATTATTTATGGATATATAATTTTGATGGAATTTTTCTTTGTTCAATTGTTCAATAGTGAATGCAATAATTCTCCAGTCGGCTAAATTGATTCGCAATAAACATCAAGAGTCGACCGTCGACTCTCTTACATCGCTTTTACTTGGAGTATTCTCAGTTTAACGGGGTCAATGTCATCTACATTTTCTCTGGGTTTCTGTTTGGACGAGGTAACCATAACATCCATCCAGCCATTGCGAATATTATAATAGCGGTGATTGGGCGTTTTTGCATATTACGCTGCCCCGCCATTTAGCAGGAAAAAGCTCGCATCCCAGATACGGCATGTATTAAATAAGCGGATAGTGGGCCGAGAGGGCCTCGAGGGGAGGAAGGGGGAGCGTAGTACGGGAGGCACTCGGTCTGGCGCGGCGCGTCGCCCCGGCAACGCGAGATATTGATCTGCGCGCCCCCGCCCCGCGCAGAATCCCGCCCGCGCACCCCTCTCCCCACGCGCGCCCTTGATTCTGCTGCTCGACCACCACCTCAACCACCACACCACCCCTTAGAATACTTATTACATTTCGCACTCCACACATGCTCCACATAATCCTATGAAGAAATTTCCCTTATAATTTATAATCATGCAGAAAGGAATACTTGCGAGTACTATAAGCTAGTACTATAAGCCATACAACTTCACAAGTGATACAATTTTAGATACATTGGTTTAGACATGATAGTGAAGTAATAACTGGCTAAATAGTTTGAGTTTGAGATAAAGTGAACTTTGTAATTTGGTACTTATTTCTCCTTTCTTCGATGAAGTTTCTTGGAAAATCTCTTTGTGTTATATAAATCAGAGAAAACTGATCTTCATTTTGAAAGAAGTGTAGCTTAAAGAGGTCGAGTTGACGTCGAAAAATTGAATTTTTCAAACAAGATAAACATTTAATCCTCAACTCTTTCTGATGAGCTCGTTTTTCTTTCAGCTTAATGTAAAATATCTCAGAGATTACAGAGTAATTATAATACTATAATTTTTTTTTGGTTAAAATAAATCTTATGCCTTTAAACGAGCAATTCTTGTATATGTATATAATCTGAATCTCGGAAACGGCTCCAACGATTTTTTATAAAATTTAGTATATTAATACGTTAATTAGTAAATAAATAAATATAGCTACGATTTCTTTTCAGAAAATGTTGTTTTATTCGTGTTTTCAATAATCAACTTTATCGATAATCAACTTAAACATAAACTTTTTATTTTATTTTAAGAAAATGACAATTAATATAATATAATATCAATATGTAATTCGTATTTAAATATTATACTTCTAAAAAATACAATTTATCAAAAAAAAAACGAGCAAAGCTCGGTCATCCCCTAGTGAATGTTTTATACTAAATAGTTTGTATGGTTTAAAGTCGATACCTTATCCTACCTACACTTTGTGATAAGTCTAGTGGGTAATTACTCGTATCGAGTGATGCGACGTTAGCCGGACTAAAATCTCAGGTAACTACCAATTTTTCTAAGTAAATGCGGTACGTGCTTAGAAACGATGAACCGATAATACTGCGCAGTAAAAACTAAAGCTGTGACGTAATTACTAGTGGTAGGTTGTATTGTGAATCTCGAATGATAAATAATACCCACTTATTGGTGCGACCAAGTATCTATCTCGAATAATAAATAATACCCACTTATTGATGCGACCAAGTATCTATGTACTTTCCGATTTGAAAGGTAGTTAGTCTTACTCTTATACAATACAATTAAAACACCTAATTTTTCAAATAACGCGTAATTCAGGTTATGATGTATACGGGGGTTCCGGTAGCTACTGATGTTTGGAAGTTTGTTTGCCTATATAAACTTATAAGAAATTGGTAGGTAGCGGCTTGGCTTTGCCCTTGTCATCGCTGATATCCATAAGCGACAGTAACATCTCACAGTGCCGTATGCTCGTCTGCCTATAAGGGCAATAAATAAATAAAAAACCTCTCCACGCTTTCTGGGGGTGGGACCTCTTGTGAGTCCGCGCGGGTAGGTACCACCACCCTGCCTATTTCTGCCGTGAAGCAGTAATGCGTTTCGGTTTGAAGGGCGGGGCAGCTGTTGTAACTATACTGAGACCTTAGAACTTATATCTCAAGGTGGGTGGCGCATTTACGTTGTAGATGTCTATGGGCTCCAGTAACCACTTAACACCAGGTGGGCTATGAGCTCGTCCACCCATCTAAGCAATAAAAAAGCCCATTAAATATGCCCTGTGTATTACTGAGTAAGTGAGTATTATTGTCGTTTGCGGTATGCGAGGCTTGCAGGAAATGTAATTTGTTACGAGAGGAGTCGCGTTCCGAGCGTGCTAAACCTTACTTGTCGCCCCTCGAACGCGAATATGCGACGAATGCGTTTTTATTTTATTTTTCTCCATTGTGACAATCGAGCTTATGAATTACCAGAT